AATGGGTTAGTAACTTAGTACACCTACTACCCTTACGGTACGGTGGCCCTACCTGTCCACCATTAGTATTATCTAGATTTTAGGACGGTCTGGTTTGGGAAAAATATTTTAGAAGAAATGGAACTAAATTTTTATAGAAAATTAATTACTAGAAAGATAAATTTTATTGTTTGGTTGTTGGAAAAAATTATTGAAAATATTGATTTCAGTGTTTGGTTGGATTCGGAATGGTATAAAGACCTATATGTCTTACAAAATAATAAAATAAATAACAATAAAAAAAAACAATCCCTTGAAAAAAAAAAAAAAGATCAACAAGGGTAAAATTGTCAAGTCATCTCAATTTTTCTTTCAACTCCCATGAAAAAAACAAAATCTCATGTCCTACTCAAGATTTTGTTTCCTCAAATTAAATATGAGGGATTCATTTTCGGTTGAAAAATAAATTTCATGAACCAAACATAAAAAAGAATAATAATAATAACATTTTCCTTCACTTAAAAAAAATATATTTTTAATAAAAAAAAAAAAACTTTCCATCCAACCAAATTGAACAATATATTGTTGAAAGTACTTTCATGAGTATTATAAATGACACAAGAGTAAAAAATTATAAAAGCTACGGATTACGAATCGGAGTACTTTCATGAGTATTATATTGTTGAAAGTTGAAACTTGAAATTATTATTATTATTATTATTATTATTATTATTATTATATTATTATTATTATTATTATTATTATTATTTTTTTTTTTTTTGTCTAAATCATAATTTTTTTTTATCAAACATATTTGACTAGGGCTTTGGAAGGGACTAAGGGGATCCCCAAGGCCTCATGTCGTTGATAGGTGCATGGATCAAGTGTCCCGTCATCCTCGGCCATACGCATATCCTACTAGGTGCCAAGCTTTTCTCCCCAGACCATCCTATGTGTGTCACGTTGCAAGCTAAGACACGTTCAAAGTCTCCACCAATCAGCCCCGAAGACCTCGCCATTCGCGCACCCCACTACTCTTCACACCATATATCGCCCCCACCCCTCTCTGTACACTTTACTACCCCTCCCATCAGTCGACCACCCCAAACTGTTATTCGCAGCCAGTATGCATGAGTTGTTTAGCCGTTGACAAACTGCCCGACTATCTAGTGGATGGCGTAACCGCGCAATTGATGAAAGTTTTTAGTTTGTATGGAATTGAATACTGTAGGGGTTTCCCTTGTACTTCGTACTAGCGCCGTGAACTTTTTAAATTAAACCTCGGTATACTCTATCAGGTTCAGGTTCTTGTTGCAAATACCCACACATTTTTATCTCAATAAATAAATTCAAAAAACTAATAAAACATAAATTAATTGTACAAATTAAAACTCAAATTTCATAATAAATGTAATGTGAATATTCAAATATAAATAACTAAATTATTGTTTAAAGGTAAATGAACATTATCAAGGCTTCAAATAAATGTGCAACTAATAAAAGTGTAGAATATATATCTTTGCTTTTTTTTTTTTTTTTAATGGAATTTCAAATCACCAATAGTCTAAGTAATTAAGGGTCGTATCAAGTATTACTTATTGGCTTTGTGAACACACGCGCACACGAGATACGAAAATGTAACGTTTGATATAACGGAAAATAAAATGATTTTCCAAAACGACAAAGCCTCTCATATTATTATTATTATTATTATTATTATTATTATTATTATTATTATTATTATTATTATTATTATTATTATTATTATTATGTAACGGAAAATAAAATGACTTTCCAAAACGACAAAGCCTCTCATATTATTATTATTATTATTATTATTATTATTATTATTATTATTATTATTATTATTATTGTCAATTCATATAATTACACCAAAAGATGTTATATTCACATTAGAACTTTACCATTATTGGCTCATCATATATAATAATTTATAATATAGTAGATATAAGGCCAACAAGTTGTTAGGCAAGAGAGTAGGTAGAATGGCAAAATTACTCAAAAATATTTAACAACATTTGAGGCTTTGCCATTTTAGGAAAAGTCATTATATTTTTCTATCACATCAAATGTTACATTTTCTTATCATGTCTTTTAATAAGATTTTGTTTTGTAATTAAATATTTTTTGACCGAATTAACAATTCACATCCTTAAAAAGACATATGATAAGGAAATGTAACATTTGATGTGATGAAAGATAGAATAATTTTTCAAAATGACAAAGCCTCACATGTTGTTAAGTATTTTTGAGTAATTTAGCCATTCTACCTACTCTCTTGCCTAACAACTTGTTGGCCTTATATCTACTATACTTTATAATGGTAAAGTTCTAATGTGAATATAACATCTATTGATGTAATTATATGCATTGATAATGAAATATTCTTTTAGGGTGTGTTTGGAAACCCGGAAAATGATTTTTGAAAATCATTTTTCGGGTTTTCACTGTTTGGAAAGAAGGAAAATTTAAAATCAACAGAAAATGAAGCATTGGTCAATGAGAAATGAGTTTATTTTTTCGGAAAACAACTTCCCCCTTTTTAAAGGGGAAATCATTTTCCAGATGTTGACTTTTCACTTTCTCCACTTTCGCGCTTGTTTCTTCTTCATCTGTTGGCTTCAGAAACCAGTACTCACTGGTTTTCGGCGTCCTTCCGGAAACCAGTGAGCACTGGTTTCCTATAAGCTTTGGTTTCCGGCGGGAATCTAGTTTCCGCCGGAAACCAAAGGTATTTTTTTTAATAATAAAATGCCCATCTGGTTTCCGCGCGGAAACCAGACATGGTTTTCGTATCAGAAACCATTCCATGGTGTCCGGCGCGGAAACCAGACATGGTTTCCGATACGGAAACCATGTCATGGTTTCGATTTGGTTTCCGCCGGAAACCAATGAAGACCTTTTTTTTTTTTTTTTTTTAAATGTACTTATTTTAATATTATATGATTATATTAAAAATTATTTTAGTATTATTATTATAAATATTTTTATATTTTAAATAAAATAATTAAAATATTAATTTATACAATTCCACTCATTTTTCAAAAAATGAATCAAACACACTAATCCAGTTTTCCAGAATGCAACTAAATATGGGAAAAGAAAATATTTTTCGGAAAATGACTCATTTTCTAGAAAACGTTTTTCAGAAGTCATTTTCCTGCTTTCCAAACGGACCCTTAATTTGTTGTTGTTGTTGTTGTTGTTGTTGTTGTTGTTGTTATTATTATTATTATTATTATTATTATTATTATTATTATTATTATTATTATTATTATTATTATTATTATTATTATTATTAACTTCATTAATTACAAATTATTTTTCTAAATTTTTTAATAATAATAAAAAGTATTATTATTATTATTGTTGTTGTTGTTGTTGTTATTGTTGTTGTTGTTGTTGTTATTGTTGTTGTTGTTGTTGTTGTTGTTGTTGTTATTATTATTATTATTATTATTATTATTATTATTATTATTATTATTATTATTATTATTATTATTATAATATACAAAAGGCACTCATGACATTTTTTATTATTTATTTTATTTCTATAGTCTCTGCAACTCTTTTCTCCTTTGGGCAAGAATTAAAATATAATAATAATATTTACTTAATTTGGTTTGTTTCTTTCAACCATTATATAATGTGACACACATACACACACACAAATCTTCACCTTATAAATAGATGAATGTCATATTAGAATTATTTTAAAATATATATATTGTTTTCTCTTTACTTAAATCAAAGATTATTTGTTGTAACACAAAGTTTTAGGAATAAGCGTCAAATATGTCATTGAACCGTACACCATAATGCAATTAAGCCACTGAATTCAAAAAAATTACAATTGAGTCTCTAAACTAACCCATTTCAAATAATTTGTCCAATTTACAGGTTTTCCCCTTTCTAACAGGTCACACAATTTAAAATATTTTTTAAAAATAATTTTTAAAAAATTAATTAAAATAAACTATTAAAAAAAAAACATCGTCTCCATGGCCGGAGACGACGATCCCTTCTTCGTCTCTCGCCGGAGACGATGAAATCTTCTTCGTCTCTAACCGGAGACGAAGAAGGGATCTTCGTCTCTGGCGTAGATGGTGTTTTCTTCTTCTTCTTTTATTTTTTATTTTTATTTTTATTTTTTTATTTTTTTATTTTAGTTTATTTTAATTATTTTAAAAAAAATATATTTTAAATTGAGTGACCTGTTAGAAAGGGTGAAAACTTACAAATTGGACAAATTATTTGAGATGAGTTAATTTAAGGACTCAATTGTAATTTTTTTTGAGTTTGGTGACTTAATTACATTATCGTGTGCCATTTGATGATCTATTTGATCTTTATTCCTAAAATTTTATTCAGTCTTTCTCTTATTATTTCTCATTTGCTCTGTTGTTTTACTTAAATCAAACATTATTTGTTGTAACACAAAGTTTTATCCAGTCTTTCTCTGTACTGTTTCTCATTTGCTCTGTCTATTTGTTTTTAGAAGCTGGATTAGTAATCCCCATAACGCATTTAATTTGCTGGATTTCACTTTGACTGTTTCTATGAATCTTTGTTGCACACACTTCAACATGTGATTTATGCGGCAAATTTATGTAAGATTATTGTTTTTTTTTTTTTTTTTTTTTTTTTTTTGTTGAAAACATGTAATATTATTGTTAATTGGCTCTGGGTTTAGACTTCATAAATTAAAATTCTTTTAACTCCCCAATATAATTAAGATTTCACGTTCAAGCCTTCTAAATGGAAGGTTAGGTATTGAAAGAGGTTTTTCAAATGGAGCTCAATTTTAAATTAATTACAGTTTAATGTAATTATTACATAATATCGAGTCATGGTTATTGAATTTAACCCAAAAAAAAAAAAAAAAAAAAAAAAAAAACATCTTGAATCCTTAATATCAAACTGTCAAAGCACAGAATTAATGAAGTTGAGCTGCCTAACTGTTTCTCCACGGGTTAAACCCTCCTTTCGCTCCAAAAAAATAAAATAAAATGAAGTTGACTATTTATTCGACATATTACATATACGGTACCATTAAATTAAAGCTGGAAGTCCAAATTAAAATACATTTACTTCAGGGTGATAGATATGGATAATATTTAGATTGGAAACCAATCCAATTTCACTTCTTTATTGTCTCAAATATATATAGCCTGGGATGGGGAGATAGGATATATAGATTTAAGGAAAAAGTTGAATGAGAGATCTTGTTCCAATTTGCGTTGTTTTATAATCCGTAAACCCAGCATCATAGAAGATTTTCACCCATTCTTTTAATGCTCTCTCTTGTCCATCATGATAAGCCATCATATACAGATCCAAGTAAATTTGGTTTTGTATTGACTCTTCATCTCCCTTTTGGGTGGCATCCAGAATCATATCAACAATTATCACCTTTCCTCCCTTTTCTCTACCAGGAATTGCTTCTTTACATTTCTTCAGTATTTTAACGCAATCCTTGTCATTCCAATTGTGCATTATCGACTGATTTAATGTAATTGTAGTATCAGATCATACAAGAATTTAATGAATTATTGCATATAAAAAAAGTGTAGTAAGAAATAAGAATTGTACCTTAAGAAAAACTGCTTGTGCAGGAGGTATGGCCTCAAACATGTTTCCGGCAACATAGACCAAGTTCTTAGTCCCTTCTAAGCCGGCAACAACGTGCGGAAGATCCAACACACTACACTTCATATCCGGGAATTCATCGGCTAATGCTCTGGCCACCATCCCGGTGCCACCTCCCACATCTACTAGTGAATCCAACCCCTCAAAAACTTCCCTACAATATTTTTTGACCAAAGACATTACAAGTAAGGAACCATGTGCCATGGCTTGGTTAAAGTAAAGGTTAAGCTCCGGGTCTTGACTGGCGCAGTCCCAAAATGTTTTCCCGTACGCTGTTTGGTACGGCGTTGGATCATCGTTGTGGAACCATTCACTGACATGGTGCCATGGACCCGCAAATATGGCACTGGTTGCCCCTAGAACATATGGTGCCAGACTAAAGGGATGGTCCTTAATGAGAAGACACGACGGAGGCCCGAGGGCATACCCGTCATCATCGTCCTTGATTTTGGCGTCAAGAAAGAAGCCAGAACGAGTCAAGACGCGCATGAGGCGACCAAGGTGGTGGGCTTTTGCCTTGTTGATAGAGAGGGCGTCAACCAGTTCTTCAAGCGTGATGGGTCGACCGTGTCTATGAATGACGTCTGGAATGCCTAGCTGAACAGCACATTTGAGAGCAGATGAATTTATGAAGTTGAAGAAGTAGTAATTTATGTGAGATTGGGCACGAACAATCTCATCCTGTAATGCCATCCCTATTTAATTTTCACCTATCGCAGCTAATTAGCTGTACTACTTTTATTTGGTACGTACTTGCATTCTCGAATCTCGATCTCAATTATATATATACATTCAATCATGGCTCAATTTGTGTTGTTAATCTATGCATATCTCTGGCTGATCTTATTGGGTTACGTACGTTACCCTCAGCCTATCATATGTTTTTATTCATCAGCAAGGCATATATTGAGTTATGTAGTTACCTACAGCTTGTCATACTAGTGAAATTCTCCTGGATATTAAAGAGAAGAGTGGACGGAGTAGACTGTTGTCGAACAATTAATTTTATAAAAAAAACATATGTGAATAATTTAATATAAATAACAAAATCATTTTTAAAAGTAACTATTATCAAGGTTTCAAATAAATATGTAATTATCTATGAGGTGTGGATGAGATGACGTGAGTCTATTCTAATTTAACTAGAAGTATGACATTTAAGCCCATCCATGAGGCTGGGGCAAATTATGTTGTGCAACCGTGTGCACCATGCATGATGCACACGGAATTGGATCCATAATTTCTATACTATAGATTCATAATTTCTATACTATAAATTCATAATTATTGAACTCTATGTTGTTCACAATTACAAAACTCTATGTTCATAATTCTCAATGTTTTCATATTCCCAATTGTTGAACTCTGTATTCACAAATCACTGAACTATATGTTCATAATTGTGATAACTATACAATTTAGAAATTATGAATCTATAGTATAGCAATTATGAATCTATAGTATAGAAATTATGAATCTACAGTTTAGAAATTATGGATCTATAGTACAAAAATTATGGATCTATAGTATGTAAATTATGGATCCAATTCAGTGTGCACACGGTTGCACAACATAACGCTCCCTATATGGCAATTTATATCATGGACCAAGGTCCACATAGTATTATGAACCCTGGATCGAAACCACAAGGTACAAAATTCATACTCATAAGTTACATATTTCATAACACGAGACACAAAATCACAACATGAGACACATACACGTTATATTTACTTATTTTTCAACTTTGATTTAGATACATAATTTGTGTGTTCATAGGCACAAAATTTTACCACACAAGACACAGAAATTCATAACCTAAGACACAATTACTAATTTATTTCAGATACAAAATTCGTATTCTTAAGATACATAATTTCATAACACAATACACAAAAATCCACAACGTACTGTGAGCCTGATCCATGGTATAAGGATTGAGACTATATCTATTTCATCGACATACTATTATTTTGTTGATATGGTATGATGAAATTGATTTATAAAATAAATTAATCACAATTTTTATTCATCTATTTTCTTTCTCCAATTAATAAAATCATAACTTGAATAGTTTTATTACCTAAAATGACCAAAAACATGGACTATCTGGAGGGGACGTTAGGGTTGTTAATGAACCGAACATAAACGAACAAAGGTTGTTTGTGTTCGTTTGTTAAGAATTTTGGGGTGTTCGTGTTTGTTAGGAACAAGTGTATTTAGATTTTAATTTGATGATACCAAATTGTCTTAGGTTGTAGACCCCTATTTTTCGTTTCTAAGATAAGTCTCGTATAACAGACCAATGAGGTGTAAAAATTCTGCCCGAGACTAGCATAATAGATCTACATGAAGACTTAAGATAACAAGGTGATCGAAAGATGCTTCCAGGCGAAAGAAGGATTGAACAAGTCTCGGATAGACTGATTTTATAAAAGGAACCTTCGTCTAAGAAGAAAGGACGAAAGATAAAGTCAATCTATCGACCAACAAGTCAAAGACATACTTGTAAAAGGCAACACTCATTAAGTGAAGCAATGAGAATGTTGTCTATGATTCAGATGGGCAAATCATTCGGACAAAAAGTGTCCTAGGAATGATCTTCACAAAAGACAGGGAGCATTAAAAGACTTGTACCATCTTGTCAGAGATCAAGGACAAAAGCCATAATGCTTTTGGCTTCAATGGCTATACAGTAAAAGTGCATTAAATGGCCAATGCCCACATGGTAATACTCACTGGTTATTAGGTTTGAAATTTTTCATCTCCCTCCAACGGATGGATTTTTCCACCTATAAATACCTCTCTTCACCATTGAAGAAGGTGCTGGTTAATTCACTCTTGCTATCCAAAGAAAAGCTCTTCAAACAGTTCCATCTCCTAAAGCTTTTCATAACCAGTGATCTTGTGAAGTTTTTCAAAGACATATTCATCTCCATACTTCACAACTTGAAGCAGTCTTGTAATTTCTAAGTGAAGATTCATCCAGATTTCAAAACAAGGCTTCAACCTGTTGGAGAAACATCAAATTATCCTTCCAACAACTCAACTTATGAAGAAGTTGATAGAGGTGGAGTAAACTCGAGGAGTTGAAAAACCTTTCAAGTGGCTATCCGGCTTAGTGATCAAGGAAGCCAGCTTGAAGTAGTTTGTACTAGAAGTGATAGTGCAAACCCTTTCACGAGTTGTGAAAGAAGAGTGGAGTAGGCTTCTTTAACAGCCAAACCACTATAAAAATCTCTCTCTCCATCCATATCTCTTTACATTAAGCTATATTACTTTCGTGCATTGCAAATCATATCGACCAGCTAAGTTTTCAATTTAACGAAATTGTGTAAAGAATATCTAAAACAAAACACCATTTTCGCTGTGCATCACTCCGTAAGGAGTCACTTTTAAAAATCGATTAGAGTCTATTCACCCCCTCCCCCCTCCCCTCCCCCCTCTAGACTCTCTTTCGACCCTACCGGGACCAACATCGTGTTCGTTAACGAACACGTTCACGAACGTGTTCATTAACATTAACAAACACGTTCACGAATATGATGGTTTACGTTCATGAACCTTTAATAACCAAACACCTGCACACGTTCATGATCACAATTCGTTCGTGAACATTATTAAACGAAACATTATTAAACAAACACAAACGAGCTTGTTCACGAACATTATTAAACGAACACAAACGAGCTTGTTCACGAACATTATTAAACGAACACAAACGAGCTTGTTCACGATCTCTTAGCAAACGAACATACAACTGTTCAAGCTCTGTTCGTTTATTAATCGAGCTCTAATTTTTGTTTGTTAATTATTCGTTTACCTTAACAAACGAACGCTTATCGTACACGAACACGAGTAGTTTGTCGAAAGCTCTGTTCGCTAACACCCCTAGGGGACTGCTCAATTCCTCATTCATAATATATTAATATTGAAAAAAAAAAAAAAGATTTTGTGACGTAGCATTATTCCAACAAATTGAGGCAAAAGATATGAGTGGAATACAAAAGAATATATTGTGTTTTTTTTCAAAATAAATAAGTAATTAAAATATATTACATACTCAATCTACCTATACCTTGTTGATGAATAAAAACATATGATTGGCTTACATTAACCCAATAAAGATCAGCCAAAGATATGGTAGTAATTAATTAATCCATAAATTAACACAAGCAATGGTTCAGTGAAGTACACACACATATATATAATTGAGATTTGATAATGCCTGTACCAAAAGTATAGTACAAAGTGAAGGTATATGATGGCATTATTGCAGGATTTGCAGGAGATAGATGAGATATGGTACTAATTAATTAATCCATAAATTAACACAAATAATGGTTCAGCACTTCAGTGAAGTACTCCACACACACATATATAATTGAGATTTGATAATGCCCAGCCCGTACCAAAAGTATAGTACAAAGTGAAGCTAAGGGATGGCATTATTGCAGGAGATGGATGAGATTCTTCTTGACCAAACTCACATATGGAACCAAATTTTCCACTTCATAAACTCAGCTTCTCTAAAATGTGCAGTTGAGCTAGGCATACCAGACATCATTCACAGCCACGGTCGACCCATAACGCTCCAAGAATTGGTCGACGCCCTCCATATCAACAAGGCAAAAACCCATCAGCTTGCTCGTCTCATGCGCGTCTTGACTCGTTCTGGCTTCTTCCTTGACGCCAAAATCACGGATGGAAACGGGTATGCCCTCGCACGCCCCTCCTTTCTTCTCCTAAAGGACCATCCCTTTAGTCTGGCACCTTTCGTGCTAGGGGCAGTCTGTACCATATTTACAGGTCCATGGCACGGCGTCAGTGAATGGTTCCACAACGATGATCCAACACCGCATGTAACGGCCCACGGGAGAACATTTTGGGACTTGGCAAGCCAGGATTCGGAGATTAACCATTACACTAACCAAGCCATGGCGGGTGACGCCCTCCTTTTCATGACTTTGATCAGGAAGTATTGTAGGGGAGTTTTTGAAGGGCTGGATTCACTAGTAGATGTCGGCGGTGGCACCGGGATGGTGGCCAGAGCCATTGCCGATGAGTTCCCCAACATGAAATGTACTGTGTTGGATCTTCCACACGTTGTTGCCGGCTTGGAAGGGACTAAGAATTTGGCCTATGTTGCCGGAAACATGTTCCAGGCCATACCTCCTGCACAGGCAGTTTTTCTTAAGGTATAGTACAATTTTAATACACATTTTATATTTAATAATTCATTAAATTCTTGTATGATCTGACACTACAATTAAATTAAATCAGTGGATAATGCACGACTGGAATGACGATGATTGCGTTAAAATACTGAAGAAATGTAAAGAAGCAATTTCCAGTAGAGAAAAGGGAGGAAAGGTGATAATTGTTGATATGATTCTGGATGTCACCCAAAACGGAGATGAAGAGTCAATACAAAACCAAATTTACTTGGATTTGCATATGATGGTTTATCATGGTGGACAAGAGAGAGCATTAAAAGAGTGGGTGAAAATCTTCTATGATGCTGGGTTTACTGACTATAAAACAACCCAAATTGGAACAAGTTCTCTCATTCAACTTTTTCCTTAAATCTATATATCCTGTATGTCTCCCCCATCACAGGCTATATATATTTGAGGCAATAAAAAAGTGAAATTGGACTGGTAATTCTTATCTAAAATATTATCCATATCTATTACCCTGAAGTAAATGTATTTTAATTTGGACTTCCAGCTTTAATTTAATGGTATGGTATATGTAATATGTCGAAT